CAAATATGAAAATAACACATATTCGAAACCACCAATTAGCTATAGTAGCTATAGTATGCTATAGTGCAACGAATCTAGCGTGAGCAAGGGTGGAACTCATTTATGACAGCTTCAACGGGGGGCTCTGGCTTGAATTCTTTTCTGAGTCGGTTCCTCAAAGCGTCCTTCCTGGACACATTAGCCCAACTAAGAATCGGGGACATGCAAGTTTTCATTGTCATTAAAAAATTCAGCTGTGAAGAAACCTGGCAACCTGGATCACACTCATTGTTCAGGACTTGCAACTATCCAGAAATTCGCAGGTACTGTATACCATTTTGATCCCATGTTGACCCATATGCGACATCGTCAAAATCGTAATTGTTTATATTTTGGTTGGAATAACTCATGTTTTTTGGCTGGTCTGGTCAAACCATCGCAAGTTTTCTTCATTCAACATCCACATCTGCAATCTACCATGTGGTTGGGTGACTCTTAGTAGCTCCTTGGCCCCTCATTGGACAGCTCCCTCTGTTCACCGCTCACAATTGGGAGGTCTGAAGTCCTCGAAGGGCATGCCCTCCTTGACATTCAAATAGGCGCCATTCTCAAAATGTGCCATGTTTGCCTCGACAGAACTGCTAGCAAATCTAGGGATGGATGCCGAATTGACCAGTTTGGCTACCAAGGGATATCCCATCACATGGGGTACCTGGGGGTGCAGTTCCAGTTCTAAGTGGTATTAAATGGACGCACACGCACATACATTATTTAGACACATATATTATACATATATATATATATATAAGCACATGCAAACATACACATGTGTATACATATATATATAATGTACATAATATAACCATATCCCAACCTCTGAGGGTAACCAAAATACCATCCCTTCCACCGACAACACAAGGTCGGTAAAGCGGACAGGGCACATCTTGCCGCTGATTCTCGAAGTCAAAGTACTTCAAGGAATGGCACTGAAAAATGGCATTCAAAATGTGGGCCTCCCAGCTGCGCGGTGCTGAACCATGATGGTTTCGGTTGGCGAAAGGCGGTTACAAGGTGGTTGGACCACCATGTTGGTTGCTTCAAACCCAATTCTGAAACGCAATTTCTTTCATGAAAGATGCCTGGACAGGAACGACTGGCAATGGGCTGCAACAAGGCCATCATGACAGCAGTTTTGAAGGCAACCATAGTCATTTGAAAAGCTATGTGAGCCCATATTGGTTCAAGACATAAGATATACGATCTCCCACTGTATTGCAACCTACTCTGCAAAAACCCAGGATGTAGATCCAAATAAAAAAAACTATCAGTGACTATCAGGCTATATGTCAAGGGTTTTGAATTGAAGGTGCTGATCATATGGCATCCAAGAGGCCGGGGCATGGCCGGGCGTGCGGAGGAACATGCCGAGCCATTCCTTGGGTGTCAGCAATCACTTGGCCATGGAGTTAAGGGAAAATCGACCGGAAAGTAATGTCTGTTTACCCAAATATAAACAAATATAGGAGTTTCATGTAGATCTTCCCTTACACAAATTCTGGGATGAATCTGGATCCAAGTAATTATCATCGAGGAAGTACTTGGGCTATGATTTGAGGGGGCCCAGGCGTACCTTTGGATGCAACTAGTTCTGACAACATCTCTGAGAAGGCAAAGGTTTGGGGTTTTTGGGCTGATTACCCATTGACAGGTCAACTTCTTGAGAATGACTACAATTCTGAAGCGATTCGCTCCACCAATCGAACTGCTCTGTTACTCATCTGCACAGATGATCAAAATCCCAAAATCTGATCTTTAAAGATTGAGACTTCGCCCCCCAAAAATCACTGGTTGGTGGTATACCTACCCCTCTGAACAATATATGAATATTAGTCAGTTGGGGTGACTATTCCATTCCCAATGGAAAGTCATGATCCAGTCATGTTCCAAACCACCAACCAGATCACCAAGATCTTCGTGGATTCCCCAAGATCTCCACCCTTCTGGGGCGCACACCACGGGCAGCAAACAACCTTTCACAGCCTTGTTCGATTTCTGGGCTGATGGGCTGTTGCCACATTTAAGGAGCGACAAACCCTAAATATATCTAAATATCTATATAACATGTTTGGATGTGGAGGTACAGCATTATCAAGAATTGATCGCAGTTCGAAAAAAATCCATAGAATTAAAAAGAAACACAGTATAAACGCTTATTATATAAATTTATAAGGCGCTAATTCACAGCGTATGTATATATATATATGTGTGTGTGTGTGTGTTGGTTTTCAAAAGTTTTCAATAATGGGGGGATCACCCAAAACGATGGGTTTCAATACTACAATATTTAAGTTATGATCCAATACTTGGATAATTTGGGGGTACCCCCCTCGCCATCCGTGGACTCCGTGCCTGCTTTGAGGCTTGTGTTAGGCCTTCGGCCACGGCAGCAATGGTCACCTGTCACGGGGCCATGGCCGACCAAGTTGCGAAGTTGGTGAACTAAGAACTCCAACAACTCTGGTTTATCTATGGTTTATGATACTTATGATAGAGTTTTTGATACTCTTATAACTATCTAAGTTTATCTAAGTTTATGATGGTTTGTGAAACTTACCATCTGGTTATTTAACTTAGCCATGGAAGATCCACCATTTTTAATAGGTATAAATGGGCCATTTCCCATGGCTATGTGAAATAACCAGAGGGTATCGATGGTTTACGATACTGACAGCTACAGTGAAAACTATAGCATCTATAGTTGATTGGCCATGATACTAAGCACCACCATTTCTATGGTCCCAAATAAGTGTAAATCTCCTACTAAACCGTGGTTTCTATATAGAAGGTGTTTAAGATTAGGGAGGAGTGATTAGCTATAACATGGTATAACTACAGTCTTCATGGGCTAAAATATGTAAAATACAAAGAACGCCACTTACATTAGCCACCACTGCTCATCCAGCAAAAATGCTGTAGCCGCTGCTTTTTCCGCGCTGCAGGATGTTCCCAAATGGCAGCCATCGCGCAGCTCTCGGTTTCCTGGGACATGCTGCAGCTGCTGGGGGTTCTCTATCAAAATGATACTGCGAATATTGTTCACGGTGATCCCTGCACAATCGTCTAGCTGGTTTGAAGCAAACACGCCAGCACGATTTGACTCCAATAATCCCCAAATTTGATATTTGGCTATGACTCAAACTTTGGTGTAGTAGTAATCAGTCCGCGAAATAGATCAGTTGTTTGCATTCAAACATCACGCAGTTCAATAAGAGCCAGAACCATACTATATCAAACCGAAATGAATGTAGTCAGACTCTTCCCCCATTTATACCTCTTCCCTTCATCCTGCTATTTTGCACCCCGATAGTTGACATCATCCTTTGTCGCCACTACATGTCTGTAATATGTATAACTGAATAATTAAATAGGTATATTGTATACATATTAATGCTTGCATCTATATCTCCATCATACTATGTATGATATTTATATATATATATATGTACATAAAAATAAATAAATAAATAAATATATATATATATATATTATATGCGTGTGATATGCGTGTGTATACCTGGTAAGGTTGATTTGTTAATAAAATGTTCACCGAGGATGATCAAGTTTGGGTTCTCAGTGGAAATCTCAACAAATAGACCTTCCCAGGTAGTACCTATAGCAGCCCACTTGACCTCCCCACCTGCAGCAAGCGCAAGGTCGTGGCGCAGTCAGCGCTCGCTTCGCAGGCCAGGCAGGCGCTGTTCAACCCCAAGATGTCAGGAGCAAGGCGTGCCTGGCGGGTCGATCATCGCTGGGAAATCCTAGGAAAAACATGGGACATATACAGGATGGGGCCCCATGATTAGCTAAGTTGGTTTATACCTATAATAACAATACGCACAGACCCCGAGGTTTGCCCAAGCCCAGAATAGCGTAAATACCCGGAAATTCAGTCCGACGTAAACCAACAGGAAGGATTTTATGTTCAATTATGTTGCTAGGGTGTTAACAAGAACATCTTACTTCTACATATCATATAACCAGAACATGTCGCGCCCACATATCATATGGAATTAACCATACAGTCATTATAAGGTATCTCTTACGGTTTCAAGAAGATATCAAAGTCCCCCGCCCCGATGGAACAACTAAGCATACAGTCATTCGGGTCCTTATAGGGTGTCAAGAAGATATCAAAATCCCCCGGTCCCATGGAACAATTAACAATACAGTCATTAGGGTTTCTTAGAAGGTTTCAAGAAGATATCATCATCATCATCATCATCCTCATCATCATCATCATCATCATCATCATCATCGTCATCTTGGCTTGCCCGGACGCTCGTTGCGAGTCCAGGCAAACCTCAGGGTCTTGACGTAACAATAGTGTATGATACTTCTAATTATATTTAGATGGGGCTATAAACCAACTTATAACTGGGGGCACCATCCTGTAGGAAAATCCCCAAACTAAATGGAGGTTTATAGCTAGGAAAAACATCGAAGTAAATGAGGATTTGCCATTGCCATGTTGGAGTACTGGAGGGTAACCACCAAGGAAAATGGTTGAAACATCTGGATTTAAGAGGGTATTTAGTGAATCTATTGGGAATTTAACTGGCTGAATGAGTTGTATGCAATGGAAGTTACCAAGCATTTCATAGTGATTTCATGGTGACATGTCGGATCAACCCATGTGACCATTGTGAAATGAGAACGGCTACCCCCTGAACTTAGATCTATATAATGCGGTTGAGTTTTACCGTTAATGTTGTTCACACACGTGGTAGTACTAATTTGATAAACTATCCCTGAGCAACACACACATTCTCATTTAATAGATTCTCATTATCATTATCCCCAAAAGAACACCCTTGAAACGGCTGCAGCCCCCATCTTGTGGGAGGATCAAGCTCGAAAGCATTCACAATCATCGAGGAAAAAAAACAACATTGATTAGTATAGCCATTATAAACTTAGTAATTACTAACACATTTACTAACACTTTAACCCGAAAAATGACATATACTGTGGAATAACTTACAGTAAGAACACACACACACAACTGTACTATACTGTTTAAATATGTTAAATAGAAATGGCAATTGTTTCAAACTCTCTCTCTCTCTCTCTCCAAGAGTTCGGCCTTTCGCCTGGTATAAACGTTACTTGGTTGGTGGTTTTAACCCATCCCCAAGAATATGAGTCATCCTGCATCCTAACTCATCATGCTTTTTGGTTGAAGAGCAATCAAAACTAGAATTAAACCCTAGATAGATACACAATAAACAATAATATAATATAAAAATAAAATGTAATATAATATATATATATATACAATTATATAATGATTTCGAAATATAGACAGAATTATGGTTGAGACTCCCCGGTCACCATTCTCAGTTATATAAATCTATAAATGGAACATGTTCCATTTGCATCCACTACCATCATTACCGTAGCTATGTGACGCCACCTTGGAACCAAAGGGTACCATCCCCAGATCTCGCCTCCGTCATGGCTTTCATCAGCTGCAGCATCTTTCGCCAGCGGCCCTGGCGCTCCAAGCAGCGCAGCGCGGCGTTGACGCAGACCTTGTCGACGCCAACGCGGTCCGCGGCCAGCCTCGGCTCCAAGGGCGGACGGCAGCTGGGTTGCCAACAAACTGCCGTTGTTTACATTGGTATCATTGGTTTTTATATGGTAACCACCTAGAAAAGATATGTTTACATTGAACAAGTTCAATTCACCTGTATTTTAGGATTTGACTTCTTGATCGGTTTGGGGTTACAGCAACACCCCAAAAAATAGAACAGAACATTCCCATGAAAACAGTTAAACAAAACACTGTTCTATCTTTCTGGAATCAACAACTGGAATTTAAATGGATCTGTCTATAAAAAATGATGTCACATCTGCATCTTTACCCAAACATTGTAAGATATTGTAAGATCTCTTGGGAGGAGCCGGTGGCCGGTGGGTCTTCTGCAAAATCAGTTGGGATGAAGTTCCCCAGGTCTGCGATCTGCCGGGTTCGGAGATGGCAGTGGCCACCCAAACCACTGGCCCCATGTGGGGAGTTAATACACATGTCACATATTAATATCTTGATTATATTGTTACTCCAAGAATTGCCCCAATTCTTACTTAATGATTTTCTATGGACTTCAATGGATTGCTTTTTCGGTGGTTTCTTCCACGCTTAAATTCACCGAGAAAACACGTGCTCGGCTCTCTCCCTGCCAGAACCATGGGTGAAACCACCAGCGCCACGGAGGCCATGGCACCCTGCCAGCAACGCCACACTGCTGGACCACCTCAAAGCCTTTTCAATGGCGCTGATGGCGCCTGCACCACTCACCAGAGACGCCTCAGCCTGCGGAGCCCGCGGCTTCTGGTCTTGAAACCAACGGTCCAAAATGTGCGAAATCAAAGGTATCACCTAATCACCATGTTCAAGAGATGATTCTAATTATCTATATGCAAGAGGTGATTGCTGCAGAGAGGGATAAAGGAGGGATGTACTCACTAGAAGCGGAAGTCCGCGAGTATCTCCAAAACCCATGTTTTGCAGGTTCTGGTGTGTTTTCCAGCGTATGGACGTCAATAATTTGAAGGATGCCCTCCATCGCCCGCTGAGTTCAGCTTGATTTGCTGCATGGGTGTCATCCCTCTTCAATTTCACATGGAACGCAATCATGTTCCAAGGACCCCAAAATTTCAAAACACCACAAAGAATCGAACTACACTCAAACACCGGAAATTCATGGAAATTCAACATCGATCCACCCAACAAAACAAGAAACTCATGGAAAATCGATCCCCTAAAACTTTTGGAAAATAGATTTAAAAAAAAACACATATCCTCACTTCTCCCTCTAAAGTCGCATCTCACCGTGCTAGAGCCCGAAGCTCCACTCCCAGCGACCTCGCCGGACTGCAGCAGGTGTGTTGCTCGTCGCCATTGGCCTCGTTGATAGTTCCGTGATAGTTCCATGTAGAAATACGCAAAGGATGTCCATTGATTTTCCAATGGTTTGATTCAGGTTTCAACTTCAGGGTTTAGGTTTTAGATGGTTTTAGGGTTGGCATGGGTTGGAATTTTAGAGCTCGAGGGTTCAGGTTTCAAAGTTCCTTTCGATTGGGCGAGGAAACCAAAACAATATCAGATTTTCTGCATTTTTCTGCAGTATGCAAAGCTTTGCCGGCAATCCTTGCGGCGGTCGCCGGCCTTGCTGTTCACAAGCAGAAACCGCAGCACTGCAGCTGATGCTGTCGGGCTTGAGGGTCATCTGGTGACATGACCGCCATTGACTGCCCATGAAGGGGACAACAACTGGTTGGTGGTTTCAACCCCTCTGAAAAAATAGTCAGTTGGGATCATTATTCCCAACATATGGAAAAATAATAAATGTCCCAAACCGCCAACCAAACAACCATTTTTGGCAGCTATAGTGGTCTGCAAATGGACATACCATTTGAGGCCCTGAAAGATGAAAAAAACTGACGCTTGAGATCACAGTAACTCTAGTACTGTAATGAAAGCAAAACAAGTTTGAAACCACCAACTTACATTCTAGATGGTTAAAATGATCCCCGAAACGATCAACCGGTGATTTTCAGAGTCAGTTAATTTACCAGAGGACACAAAAAATCTCTACTTTCAGTGGGATTCACTTTTCTGCGTCTTTTCTTTTTAAACCAAACACCAGAAGCGTCACCTGCAGCATTTGCGTGAGCATCGGTAAAGCTCGGCGCCAATAGCCCACCTATAGACCGGGTCTCAATGCACCCAACCCCCCTGGCCCAATCTGCCAAGCTTGGATACCCAGCAATGAAAGGTACACCCCTTTGTAGCCCTTCAAGGTACCCCCCAGTTGATCCAAGAAAAAAATGGTCATTCCAGAATTTGGGAGGAGCAGCGAAGGAAAAAAAGGTGAACTTAGCCAGCGCCATTGTTTTCAAAGCACTATACCCTCCTGCAGAGTAACATAGATGTGGAAAAGCCACAAGATTTCTAGTATTAGTGCCCCACATCTGTTTGTACGTTTGGCCCAGGCTTCAAAAATCATCACATATAATGATTTTTAAAATGATTTATCATGATTTACTGATATATCTATCTACTGATCTACTGATCAAAAGATCTATCTATCTGTCTGTCTCTGTCTGTCTATCTCTATCGCCATCTCCGAGAGTTTAGCCCATCCAACTAGTTCGATCTACCTTCTCCACCGCGCTGATGGCAGCATTGAGGCTAACAACCTCGGCGAACGTGGCGATTTCTGCAGAACTCCTTGGGGGGGGTTCAAACTTCCCCAGCTTATGGAGGTTGTTGTGGGATACCATCTCCAGTTGTGGGTTAGGAATGGGCATAGCCATGTACATCCAACATCAATTGGAATGTGAAGCCTCAACTATGGCGACACCTGCACCCACTTCTTAACTGGAACTGCACCCCACTTCGAACCTTTGTGGAAATTGAAGTAAAACTCCCATAAGGGGGGAGTATCAGCCATTCCATTTGGGGCAACTGGTACAATGATTGTTGAATTAGAACTGAATGATGTTTGGAAAGATCTTCCTTATCAATCATCATTCATCTGCGTTTGTTTGAGACTAGGGTACCCAAATCCACCCTATTGTTTGAAACCTGATTTGCCCCAACAATGAACACAAGGCAGTGTTTACTGCAAGTCAATGGGCTGCCCATTCTGGAAGAAACCGCAAGGACCTGATGGCCTTAGAACATTAATGTTCCAGGGAAGAAAGTCATGGTTTCCTCCACATCTTCATTTAATTGCCAATCCATAGATTATCTCAGAATGTATTCCAGAATATCCCCCATCTATTCCAATTATATCTAAATAGCACCCCCCCCAAAAAAAAAACATCCCAACTAATTGGTGGTTTCAAACCCCCTGAGAGATATTAGTGAATCGGAAGGATTATCCCATATATTATGGACATTAAAATTCATGCTCCAAACCAGGAATCAGATTATATTAGGGATTTACCAATGGGAATATAAAAAGGAATCTAATGATTTATGATAGTTTTTTGTCTGTTTACCAAAGGGTAATCCCAATGTTTCCAATGATTTATGATGGTTATGTTAGTTTATGATGGTTATGATTCCATTTGTTCAAAAAAAAACGCCACATCTCCGAGATCTCCTCGGAGCGCCACGTCACGGTCGTCGACATCGTCGCGGCGAGGAGATGCATTGACTGGAGCCACTGCACCGCCTGGAGAACACCAAGGCCGCCTATGTTAAAAGAGGTTTATAGGTCCATGGGGCCCATGGCCCATCTATAGATGTATTATATTGATGTTAATGATTGTTAATGTTTATGAGTTGATGTTCACCATTCCAGCTAGTCTCAGCTAGATCGATAGTTCATATCATTTATATCCACCATAAATCCTACAAGTCACCTGAACTAAAGCGACTAGCTTCTGTGCTGAACTCCATCCCTTGACCCTCTCGTAATTTACAATAGCTATGGACACTTTTCAATGTCTAGAATGATTTACCCATGAAAATGGTGACTTTGCATGGCTGTGTTCAATTACCAGAGGGTACACTAAAGGGGATGAGGTCAGATTATACCAGCTACCAACTGTCTAATGTGGGTTGTAACCATCCAACATTGGTTGAACACCAATGATACATGCTGATGATCCCATCCACCAGTATCCACCATATACAGTAACACATGCCCAAAAACATACCCCTGATAATGGATCTGGTACCGAACCAGAACCAGGGTTTCAAAGGAAGTCTTTGATATTAACAGAAGGGATTTCCATTGAAAAATCCACTGGGACGGTTGGTTTGGTGGATTTCCTCACAATGCTCATAGATTAAAAAAAAAACATCTGAAAAAGAGATTGGGCACTAACTACCATCATTTACCATCATTTACCATCCGGTCATGATGTTTTGTTTTACATCCCTCATTGGTCTGGGCAGTTACCGCAGTTCTCGCCTTCTCCAAGGCTGTGAGCGTCACAGCCACAG